TGAACAGAGGAGAATAAGGAAGCACGCAGACAAGACTGTTCCAGAAAGCATCAGACCGCCAAGCACAAACGTCATGCAACAGCACAATTGCCCCAAGTTCACAAGGCTGCCACTCGCAGTCAGCTGCCAAAACCCAGACTTCTGTTTCATTTGCTGGCAGCATTTCAAACCCAAACTCTTTCCCTCCAGGCCCCAAGCAAGGCAGCCTGGATATCCTGTAGCTAGCAGCCACCAGCCATTACGCAGCATCGGTGCTCGTTTCAAAGTATTATTTATTGTCTATAAAAGTAGAAGACGGCCATTCAAAACATGATGATTTCCCCTTACTCTGCTAGAACCTTCATAAGTACATTAAAAAAGATGTTTCCGTGTATGTTTTCAAGCATGCATTGGATGTGTGCAGCAAAGGGGATTGTGTCCCTGTCAGCCATGTGTTTGGCATTGTGAAAAGGGCCTGGTATACTGATGCACTCCTAGAATCCATCTTCACATCAGCGTCCACAGAACCTGTGAAGGTGCTTAGACTCTCCTAGATGTGGCTCTGTAGGCACGTAAGGCCAGTTCCCGGGGAGGGGCCCCTGTTGGCTGCCTCAGCTTCTGCCGAACCACTAACTACATCCATGTTTCCAGGATGGCAAGGAAGCTGGGTTCTGGCATGGCATCTGCTTCTCAGCACTGTCTCCAGAATAAGGGCTGCTTCCTGTGTGATGCATTCCCTCCCCCAAAAATGTCTCTGTGTAGATGTGTGTGAAGAACACCCACATAGCATGCAAACATCCTTGTACTTAGCTGCATTATGCGTGAAAGGTAGAGCAGGAGACACAGTGTGCCTCTACAGTGAATATCCAGCAAGATCCAGAGACATTAAGCCCTTCAGAAGTGTTGTGGTTATTTTCAATGAGGGAGTTAAGTAGGTGTGTAAATTTCTCCCTCTATCATCCATAGGACTTAACAGTGCTTAACTTTTGGTAGGATTATAAACAATATTGATATTACATATACAAGTACAGCAACAGCTTTTGCTTTACAATAATTGGTCAATTCCATGGAACAGGACGAAATGATCCAGACTGCAACGATTACTTGGAAAGCAGGCTTTGCATATTTCAACTGAATTAACTTTTTCTTATTATTTATTTGCGTATGGCTCCCACTACTGCTTTTGGGCATCTCTGAGCTTTGATGGTCACATCAAAAGAGCTGTTGTGGCGTGAGAACTGGTCAATTTTGAGCCAGATAATGCCTGGATTTATTGCAGAGGTCGGTTCCCATGATTGTCAGTGGACAGCAGGCACCGGGTGTCGTAATCCTCATTCTCTTGGAAAAGCACATTGTGGGCTGAATAGTGATTTACTAATGTGACTCATTCTTGCAGGTTTACCGGGTCCTGGAGGAGGACATAGTGGCACTTAAAGGTCATGCTCCTTGCAGTAGCCAAATATGCTTTTTCTTTATGATTGCTGCTCCCTGCTGTATTTTTTTCTGGAATCAGTTGTTGTGGCGTAATCCAAAAAATAAATACATGTTATTCATCTAAGGGATCTGTCATTTGGAAGGCTTTATTAAAGAAAGCATTAGATAACAATTAGGGATATTGGGCATTTATTGAAAAATAAATGTTCTGTGAATGTCTTTAGAAAAATTGTTTGTAAACTCGGAGTAAAAATATTTCAACATTTTATCCAGTAAGTTTACATACATGTCTAGATGACATATTTCTGGACAGGAATGGTAGTGAAGGAAAATTAACTGCCCACATTTTTTTTTTTACTGAGCACATCAGCATGGTCAACTCAAGTCTGGGATGCTAGATTAATATGGTGACAAAATGCTTCCTTCCACTTAAGCTGTTGGGTTCAGCCATCTTTGCATGCCTCCAGATAAGTCTTTGATGTCCCTATACTGCCCTGATTCAGTCATGGAATTCGATGGAAGGCCCAGATGTTGCTGTTTTCCATTGGCAGCTTTTCCATGTTTTATTACTACCGCTTCTGACATTTGTTCTGATAGGCTGTTAGAATAACAGCACAATGCCTTCTGACGGTTAGTGCTCCATCTGGAAGCACCCCATTTTTTCAGAATCCACGTCTGCTCCCTGAACTGTCATTAATGTAAGTGAGAGAAGGAGGATTCCTTTCTGTAAAAGTGGTTTAACTCATCCATGTCATGTTCATTCAGCACTCAGGTGTAATAACTGCTGTAAATAAAGCTTTCAGGAGCATTTTCTTACCTGTGCCCACACACTGGCTGTTTTTGCTGGCCTAGGGTCACTTGGTACCAACAGCTCAAGTAAGACTGCCTGTATATCTACCATTTCATCACAGCTGCTCTGAAGTTAGCAATGATCCCTGAATCCTTCTTGGGAACATGTTCTTCCTGGAAGCAGTGGTTGACCAGCGGCTGTCTATGGGCACATGTGTGTTTGAGTACCTTCGTGAGGAGATAGGTCTGAGCTTTATTAATGACCAACTGTTCCAAGCCATATCTGCAGTGATCCTTATAATCTTTAGTGCAGTCTTCCAGGTAAAACTTTAGAGATAGGATTAATGAGATACATGCTGCTTTCTGCTGTGTGGGGAAACATAAAATGTGGTATACATTCAAACTAAAGATGCTGTTCTCTAACCTCTCTCAGTGGAAACATAGTGGTCTTCCTTGACCACTCCTAGAGAATTTAAATGAGCCAAGAACCAGAGTGCTAATCCATGACAGGAGAAAACTGTGTGCTTACTTTGCTAGCATAGAGCCAACAGAATATAGGTGCTGGCACAGGAGCCAACAGAACAAGGGTTATTTAAGTTTCTATGTCTTTGCAACCTTCTATCTCCAGAAGACCTCTAGCCCAGCACCCTGCACCATCTTTCCCTTTTGATTGGCTTATTCTCACTTGAAATACAAATGTGAGGACTGCAAATCAGCTCCTTTATTTTTCATCATGGTTGCCTTTTTGGAAACTGTTTATTGAGAATCAAACTGAACAACTGCAGTTAATCAGCCTCATCTTTTTATCAAGAACAACTATCAGCAAACAATTTGACCCAACATTCTGTCTCACAAATGGGATATAAGCATTGGTTTTAGTTTATCAAACAGTAACTTTGGATGAGGTCAGGACTGGGACCCCAAAGGGGACGGAGAGGACATTAACCCTTCCAAAACCCTGATCCAGATGCAGCTGTGTGTGCAAAATTCATACTGCTAGGCACTTCCTACCAAGGCAAGCAATAGTCAGGGGTGGATGCGGAAGGGATAATTGGGACCGGTGGACCTAAATCCATTTCTTCCCCAACTCTATGGACCCGATCCAGATTGGCATCCCTGTAGCTGCTGTTTAGTACACAAGAAATGGAACGAAGCATACAAGCACTAATCCTGTATTTATCAACTCTAGTTTGGTCTCAAGTTAGGCCAGGGTTTGGGCATGGGCACTGAATTTTTAAACAAGGGGCACACATCCCACCATGGCAGTTGTGTAATATGCTACACGCACGTACAATAAGCAATCCCTATATGGGCTCCGCTTAAGGTTCAACACATTCTGACTTTTCACATTTGCTTCCAGTCGGCATGCCAAAACAAACAATCTCTAAAATCAGTCAAAAAGGACTTCATTTAATTAGTGATATGTAAAGACTTTTGCATAGAAAAAAAAGGTTAACAAAATAATGAACAATTTCCCCCCTTCCAACTAGGAACAGTATTTTTAAACAAATATTTTAAAAGTATATTTTGCATAATGTTTAACATTCTCAATGTTTATTGCTTTCTCCACACAGCAGAGAAATGAAGTGCATAATAATACATGCTGTGCTTTTCTTTGACTTGCCCCGCCAACATAAACTCTCTAGCCTTTGAGTCAATGAATTAAAATACTTGTTATTTCATAATAATTAAAAAAGCAAAACTTTTTTTTAGCATTTCTGGTCTGGGTAGTAAGAAAATAACTTATATTTTCAGGAAGTTTGTTTGCGTTGGAAATCAAACCCATACAGAAACACGGCCAGTTGCCTATCTTATAGCTATTCATCCATGTCTATTCCTGACAGTGACCATGTAGAGAGGAAAGAACTTATATTCTGCTAGAAAGAAGCTGCGCTTTAGCTTGAAACAGAACCAAAACAAGTCATCAGTGACTACAGCCAAATCCATATTCTCTTCATATAGAACTGTCCTGATGTCCATACATGAACATACTTAAATAATGTCCATCATTTTAAGCCCTTTGTTTTAAAGAAAGGGCCAGGAGGCTTGACGTTTCTTAAAACAAGCACTGAACAGACCTGTGTTTTCAGCATTATGCTGCATGTCATCAGCATTGGACAAGTAAACAATTAAAGTAAATGATGTGAGATTAGATTAGCACATATAGCCTTGAAACCTGTTTGGTTATTCCTAGCCTGCAATTCCATACACAGTTTGCTTGGATCTGACTGATGTTAAAGGTCTGAAGCCGTACAGTGTGCATTTTGTTCAGGAATTCTAGTCTTACTCTGGATCTCATCACATGATTCTCAATCGCCACTCTTTTCTCTCCAGTATAATTTCCATACTTGTACAGTATTATTTACCTTTGAAAGGAAAAGGCATACCCATGCACACAAACACACCACACATTGGGAAGAGGGCAGGCACTTGTGCATTTTGGACTTAGTGTTCACCTTTCATGAAAGCATTTTTAAGCTATGATCCATCACTCCTCTGACAAAATAAAAATGCATAGCAAGAGGATTAATTCTACAGTCTATGTTTTTCAGAAGAGGCCTTTCTGGAAACACGAGAGTCACCATTTTGAAGATCACGGCTGTCTAGCATGGTGCCTAATTCAAACAAAGACGAGATACCTTATTTCTGCTTTGACCAGTCTTAAGGCAGCATTAGTTAACTCCTCCCCATCTGTCTTTTAGGAATGCACAGGGCTACTTGACCAGTTCATGAGCTATGCTTTGTGTGAACTTCCGTGGCAACTGCAAAAGTCCAAGGAAGGCTGGTGAGGAGGAAATTTAGAAAGCTCCAACTTCAGTCCCCCAAGGCCGGTAAGGCTTACTGTTTCCATTACCACTGGACTGCTGAGGGCTGGCAGTGGCAGATACTGACAAAGGTGGACTGATTGCTGTTGCGGCTGCCACGGCTGCTGCTGCAGCTGCACTGGGTGGGAGCATCGGGAATGCCCCGGCAAAAGACAGAGGAAAACTCTGAGCAGCTGCTGCGGCTGCGGCATGCACAGTAGCTGAGAGCGAGAGAAGAGAGGTAGAAAGTGGCGGGATGCAGGGAGCAACACTGCCAGCAGAGGGCACTCTAAGTGTGGAATCGGCGTGAGCAAATGTCGCCGTGAGAAGAGCAGATCCGTGGGGAGGCACCTCTGAGGCTGTTGAAAGTCTGCAAGGAGAGATGTCGGAGGAGTGGAGTCCATTTTGCTGCAGCAAAGCCGTAGGGAGATGGTGGAAAGCTGCTGCCCAGTGGTGAGGATGCAAAGGATGGTGGTGGTGTGCCATCGACGAGGTCATTGCAGCAGCTTCCCTCTGAGAAGCACAGGAACTAAGGTGGGAGACTAATCTAACTCTCAGAGGATCGGATGTGTCCAGACCTTCCACCGAGCTCAGGTATCTTGCAACTTCAGCTAAACATTCTCGGAACCCAATGCTGATGAAATCCATGGCAAGGGCATGAGCATCGAAGTAACCTGCAACACAGCAAGACATTAAAGCAATGATTAGATGGTCACTTGGCTCATCTTGAAAAGGGCACAGCTAGTATCATAGGCATTTCTGGATTTAGAATCACAAAACATTAACAGCTTGTGTACTTTGTATGGTAGGCTGCAGTCATACTTAAGACTAGAACTATTGTATGATCGCTACATATGACAACAAAGTCAGGATCTGATTCAACTCATCCCCCTCATCAATTATTATGATTAGCATACATGGACTGACGAGAATGCAGTGTCCTAAATTTGTCCTTGTAATCAGGTATCACAATAGAAAAGAGGCCAGGCCAAAATCTTTTTATTCACCCAGTATTTTAATGGCTGAATGGTTTTTACAGTATGTTTTTATATATTGAAAACTGTGTTTTATTTTACTGACTTCTATCAAACTTGGGACTCTTTTTATTATTGGCTAGAGAAATGGGACTTCGCACAGATTTAAATATGTTTTTAAGTTATCATAAATGGAAAAAGAAGGGTGTGGGGGCTGACCCAGCGGGCTCGATGTTTTTGATGATGGATGTTTTTAGTTTTTTTTAAAGATTATAATTTCAAATAAAATGTATTCAAAAAAAGAAAAAAAATCATGTTTTATTTAAGTGCTGTTTTGGTTTTCATCTTTTGTAAGCCATCTCAAGATCCATCTAGGATAGAAGATGGGACAAAAATGTTTTAAATAATAAATGAGTCAGTGTCAGACATGTTAAAATTATCTATTGTTTAAGACTGAAATGCTATTGCAAGATTTTCCTCAGCATCTGTGTCATACACATATGTGCAGAATAATCGGCTGAATTCAAAGACCTGGCTGTGAAATCCTTCACCTTTTACAGTGTCAGTTAAATAAATTACCTAGAGTATTTTGGATTTGCTCCCAACTAGATTAATGATGTCCTTAGTTTTGTTTCATTTTTCAATCACAAGATTAAAACAAATTTGATGCAGTCCACCAATAATTTGCCTTAAGCAAGGCTCAGTTAGATTATTGAAACCTGGTGCAGCAATACACCAAATTTCCTTAGACAAGTGTGGTCCATTTAACCAGAACTTGTAGAGGAGAAGCACGTGCAACGCACTGTGTCTTTTTGTTAACAACACGATTGTCTGAACAGAGAAACACAAGCAGCTTTCATTTAGTTATGGCTTACTTCAAGTCCATATGAAAATTGTGGTGAAATATTAAGTGAAAATACAAATCTACTCATAGTGATCTCGGACATCTAAATATGGAAGATTTTAAGAGATATGGATTCAACATACTGTAGCCTGGAATGGTAACATCCTGATCTTGTAGTTTTTATTAGTCTAGGAGCCATGACAACCATGTTATATGCTATAATCAAGCCGCGTTCCTGTCCATCAGGAAATGGCAGTTCCAGCATGTGGGATTAATCCAGCCTGTGAGGTTGCCCATTCTTGCCAGGGGAAGCTGTGGCAGACCCCATGGGTCCCACCTGTCACCCCAGTTCTCACACCCTGTCCTTGAAAGAGGAATCTCTGATCTAAAGTACAGTCCCCTTTTTACATCTCTGACCAGAGACAACAAGGGTGCGGCCCCACACTTGGTTGGCTTATAGGATACATACATGCATAGCTAGATTAATCCCTACAGAAGATAATAAGGCTTACTTCTGGATAAATATGTATATGACACAACTGTTAACGAATATCTGGGAGCGAAAGAAACAGTGGTTTCTTATTTTAAAGGAGTGAAGCGTGGTTTTGCTTATTTGAGGACAAATTCCAGACGAACAGACATTCTAGTCTGTTGTAGCACAAAAATATACAAAATGTCAGCATCTCAATTACTGCCAAGAAAGTGACAATTAGAAATAAAGCCTCAGAGGAACATTTTAAAAAGCCATCACCAGAGGTCATTTTGAAAAAGTGACCTTGCATTCTTGCTAAAAAAAGAAACAAAAGGTTCTTGGTGGCTTTCCTTCACAAACCACAAACTCCTGTAGGTAAGCCCAGTTCTCTCTCTAGGCAGCATCCAACAGGGCACTGCACCCCCATCAGTTCTGTCCCAGAAACAAGACCTCAGCACGATGGAGATGTAGTGCTTTCCAGAGTAACCAGGAACAAGAAGCAATACTAGTTTGTGCAGTGGGGCATGTCAGCCGACCTCGCCTAAGAGAGTAATTCTGCTCCTTTAGTAGTATCGGTAAATCTCCATTGGACATGCAGTGCTTTCCCCTTACATAAGGGAACCAGCAGGAGGCACCACTTATGCAACAGCTCTATTGCTCCAAGTCACACAGTCTAGCCGCTCTGGCTGTACAGCACTGAACGAACAGCCTAATTGCCTTTTATGGCACTGGCAACCCAAGTATTATCTATCATCAATTGGACTATTTAAGATTTCGTAACTGCAGGTAGTATGTTCCACTGCAGAAAAGATGGCTGTCAAATATCATCCATCATGATACGGGCTCTTACTAACTCTGGTAAAACTAATGTAAAACGCCTCTCCCCTTCATCACTGCAAAAGTATAGCACACATTCATATACAGAAATAAACCCATTCATCTCAATGGGACTTACTCCCCGGCCAGTCAGTAGTGATGGATTGTGGGAGCTATGGTCCAAAAGAACAGGAAGGCCACATCTTGCCCACCCCTGAAATGTGGAATTACAGCAGAAATACTGAAGTCAATGTTTGTTTTGTTGGCTCAGTAGTAAATGGACCTGGCTTGGCAGGGGGCAGTGGGGCTGGCTAGGCTGCAGAGAAACCTGTCCAGCTGTTGTGCTCACTTGAGAAGAGTTAGGCCATGCTCACTGGCAACCTGGGCACAGCTCATCTGCCGAGATGCTTCTCTAATTCCCTGAGGGAGGATGGCCCACAGCAGGGAATACGCTATCCTTGCAGCCACTCCTTGCTGAATTCAAACTGTATGGACTGCAAGGCTAAGTGTGGGTTAAGATGTTTGCCACTTAGTGAACCACAGTGGTATGGCAGGCTTGGTTGGAAGGAAGGTTTGTTGAATTAAATGGAATTTAAGGCAAACTTTGCATGGGATTACGCTTCAAGAAATGTCTTGCCCTATTATAGGCTAGCACGGGAAGCATTGCATCTCAAGAAAATGGCCCTAAGGATGTTACATTGCAGTAAGAGAATAAATGGTGAGGGGCAACAATAATGCAAAATCTTCAATAGCCATTATTTCCACAGACTGTGCTTCAAGTTGAAAATGGCCGTGTGGCTCCCAAGGTTCAAATAAACAATTTTCTCCCCCAAACAAACTATAGTGTAAAAACACATTCCTAGCACTACTTTTGGTGGCCGGGGCTGGGGGAAAGAACCACAATTCTTGTGGCCAGCTTTCGCTGAAGGTATTTTTTGAAAAATCCCACAAGAGCCAGTAGTGAGAGATCTAGTCCCTCCCCGGCCATGAATCTCACTAGGTGGCTCTGGTCCAATCACAGACTCTCAACCTAGCCTACCTCACAAGGTTGTTGTCAGAATAAAATGGAGAGAAGGATTGTGTGCAGTGCCCTGGGTTGCTTTCAGGAAAAAAGGAGGGCTATACATACAATAATTACAATGAATTATATGATCACTCAAGAGACAATTCTATTCTTCACAGAGTATACCTTATATGAACTGTCACAGAGATATTCAATATACCTCACTTACATACAATATTTTGATTTCTGAACAATTTGGAATAGTTTGGCAAGGACTCTTCTGGCAGAAAGTCAGGCAAGAATAAGGCCGTCATTTTTAGCATCCCAGTAACTCTACAAGATAGGTTGGACTAAAAAGATGGCATCTTGCACAAGAACAGGGAGAGCCAACTTTGTTTGGCCCATTCCCTGATCATTATGTGTCACCACATGCATTATCTCAGGAAATCTCATTGCAGCCCTTAAGGTCAAGGCTGAGTGACAGTGGTCAGTGAAGTCATACCCAAGGAGATACTTAAACTTGGGAATCCCCAGTATACATTACAACAGCATGCAATTAAGCTTTCTCCCCTCTAACTAGTGCATACAACTCGTGGTCTTAAATCACCAGGCACCTATTCTTTTGTTGCCAAAACCAAAAATGGCACCATCCACACAGAAGAGGGAGTGCTCAGAAGGCTTGGGTGGACACCAAGGTTAGCAGAAGCATGACCGATATAGGGGGAAGGAAAGCCAAAGAGCCCAGTGTTTCTGCCCAGTGACCATGGAATGTGGATTGATTAACTGGGGTGGAAGGAAAAATAGGGGAGAGGAAGACTGGAATAAAATGCTTTGGCAAAGTGCATGGTGAACTGAGGAGCTTGACTTCATCATATTTTGTTGCTGGTCCAACGTGTATCTTTATTCACATCATAAAACAAGGTATAGTTACCAATTCAAGTAATAAAAATTAATAGGACAAGAATTAAAGCAATCCACTACAGTATTTCAAAATAACCTTTTGGCTTTTGAACAGCCCCTTGGTATACTCTCCTCAGTATGCACTGTAGTTTCTCTAAACCAATGAGAGCAAAATCCTTTCTTTAAGGTAAGAGAACAGAAATCACATTCTGTACTAGATTCTCAATTCCACACGCAAACATACAGGCACACAAGATAAACACACACTGTGGATACTTCTTTTCCTAGTAGTATTGGGTTTCCTCTTAACTATCCAATACCCATAAGATCCAAGCTTAGATGTCCTGGTAAATGAATGGCACAGACTAATTTTGCAGGGAAAACATTCTTTCTAGAACAAAGGGCAATACATAAACAATAAGGAAAGCTTCCTCTAGATCTACTTCCCGTGGTATAGCAGCTGCATAATGAATTTTAACTTTGGTTTTGTTTCATGCTGCACAATTGTTGCCGCAGCCCTCCCTGTTTATGTTTGGATGTTTGGGGTATTTGTTTTGTCTCCCTTGTGCCGATTTCAGTGCTCTTTGGAAACCCCAACAAATCTCTGACTGGGCTGCCTGTGAATGAAGCCTTTACTCTCCCACAGTGTTATGAAAGCAAACACAAGCCCAGGGTCAAGTGCTTCTTTTGTCCCAGTAGTTCTTTCCCACGAGTTCGGCCCTGCCTTTAGCACTGATTTGCACTCCTTTAATCTAGAACTGCCTATCCCAGCTTGTCAAAAGGAGCATTTGCTAAGGTTTCGCTTGCTAATATTAGAAACAGTCCAAAAATCAATTCCTTACCTTTCCCGCCTGTTGCCTGGAGCATCTTCAAATGATCCACTGTCATTTGCAGGATTTCTGCTTTTTCTAATTTGGCAGATCCCTTTGAGATAAGAAGCACAAACAATAAAGGCTTAAAAGTATTGCATGCTTTGATTTGGTATACTCTCTTTTGAGCTGCATCTTCTGGTTTTAATTTTCCCAACCATTAGAGCATTCTCAGCTTAATTCTTCCATTGTGCATCTGCATCCCAGACTTTATTTTACACACTACTACTATATCACAGTGTCTAGTAGGACATAAATTGTATGTGCACACTTCTTATGGAAAGCAGAACAGCATAAACAAGGGTAACATGTATAGTAAATATAGATGTGTACGGCCTTTAAAAACAGTTTTTGAAATAGCAGCATACAACGAAAAACATCAAAGGGCACAGTTGTCTGGTGTTCTTGCAATCCTAGTGAAATAAATGAGAGCTACAGAAAAGCATGTAGCTCTTCCTACAGAGCAATTTATGCAGGGAAACTTCTCAGTAAACTTTGCTCATTCATCAGTACAACAGCAGTGCCTAAAGAATAGCGGGGTTTTTAATCATCTGTGGCTAAAGAAAATGATAGGCAATTAAGTTTTGGTTTAATTATAACTTTTGTTTAATAAATTGATATCCTTTTGACCACAGGATGCCTCTTGCAAAGCCCACAAGAAGGGTCTAAGGATTATAATCCTTTCCGGTTCCTGTGCGCCAGCCACTGGTATTCGTGGCACTTCTGTTAGCCTGGAAAAAGCATGTCGCCATTATGACTTGTTACCATTGGTTGCTTTCCCCTCCATGAATTTATTTATCTCAGTTTTATACCACCCAACAGCCAGAAGGTTCTCTGGGCAATTTACAGCTTTAAAAACATATAAACAATGGAACAGAAAAACTAAGTCAGAGTAACACCATAAATCTACCAAACAGTAAGACAGTCATAATAATGGCAGCAAACCCACAGCAGCTGTGGCCAGATTAATATATAGAGCAGCAGCAAAAATGGTCAAAAGCAGTATTAACACCGAAATTAATTATCAGAATGCCTGGAGAATAAAAAGGGCTTCACTTGGCACTGGAAAAGAAAAAGAGTAGGCACCCAGGCATACGTCTTTGGAAGCTTACTCCAAAGACAAGAATTTGTCTTTTAAAGAAGTCTAAGAAGATGCAGTGTAAGTTGTCACTGATATTCTTAACACAATTATGTGCAGCCGAGAAAGAAAGCAACTTAAGAGAGTTGTGTTTTTAGCACTGAGAATTGCCATGTGCAGAGTCATTTTCAGTACAGTAGGAATGCCGTGCCATTTTGAATGGTGCCATATTCAACTGCCACGGACAAATAATGAATGAGGGTCTTAAATCTCCTTTGGGATTATTGCAGCACAAGGGCACTGAAGAGATAACTACTTTGTAAAAAAAAAAAAAACCCCTAACTGTGGCCAACTCATAGATGCCAAGCCAATGACATTCCATAGAAGGATACATTGTTAGACCCTTTTTTCCTAAATGCTTATCTATTCTATAGCTACAGTCTTGCCTCAAAAATGGGACAACCAAATCTGATGAGTTAGTTTTATTGCTGTGGCTATAAAAAGCTTTTCTCCTAAAAAATAAGTAAAAATTAGAAACATAAAACATTGCAATTATTATCAGAAGATGTTTCTTCTGGAACTGACAGAGCGCACATACATTATCCTGACCTTTAAGCTTTAAATCATAGGGAAATTATGTGAAAGAAAGCGAGTATCCTGGCATTAACTGAATATTATTATTGTTATTGTTATTATTATTATTGAAAGGGGCACATAGAGGTTTGTGGGTTGTAGCCAACAGTGTCATTCCACTGCTGGAAGCAGTTCCATAAGCTGAAGCAACTGAGAGGGGTCCCACTCTTCTCTGCAGTGCCCTGTGCACCCTCAAAATTTGATCCAGAGGGCTGGGGAAATTTCTGGAGCAGACTCTCAGGCTGCACAGAGCATTGCAGGGGCAAGAATAAGAAAGCTCTGCCACATTCTCTGATAGCGCGCACTGCACTGGATTTGACCCTCAAGGCATGACTGGTTCAAGAATTAGGTTAGATTAGACTGGTCATTATCATGTGTGCTTCCTGATAGTTGCTCACCAATGTTGAATTCATTTAATTAGCATGAGAAAAAGTCTCATCAGGAAAGAGGGTGAAGGGTATGTGGGGGGGTGTGTGGGGGGCAGCTGCATGAGACATGAGGCACTCCCTTGCTTCCCCACATGCTTTGTTTGCTCTCATAGGCTGGGTCCAAGCAGGACAACAGCCCATAACCCAACCACTCAAGGGTTGAGATGGGTTGTGGTTGAAGCATGGGTTGTGGCTAAAACATGGGTTATCATAGTGTTCAAAGCCATCCCCAATAACCACAGTTTGTTAACATGAACAACCCGCAGCTTGCAACTCAACAAACCTGAAATTTTCTTCATAGGTTGCTGTGTTGACAAACTGGTTTGTTAGCCTGGCTGGCTTCAGACAACACTATAATCCATGTTTCAACAACAGCACATATTTCAGCCACAGCCCACACTCAACCCTTGAGTATGGCTTATATTGGCCAGTCGTTCTCTGCTTAATATATAATTGAGTTTAAACAAATAGGCCTGCCACTGCCAATGTATTTGTTTGAGCCTTAGAAACTCTAAGGCCAAAATACTACATTTCCATCTATACATTCATTCACATCCATCCACACATTTAGCCACAAATTAAGTGTGCAGTCATCAAGTGATGCACATACATGTGTGAACCAACCTGTATCAAATAGCTGCCTCTGTTCTAGTTCTAATTCTGATCTGGAAGGAAAAATTTGTTCTGAGTAAACAAGGCTTTCCTGGAAATCTTAATAGTTATTTTTTATACTTTATGGATAAATTTATCAGTACCCATACAGCTATTAGTATTTCCTTGTATGTTTGTGGGATGTTCAAAAAGCAGCACAGATTACTTCTTATTTAAGTGCAAAACATTTAGAATTGTATAAAGCTGCTGTATACCGCATGCTATTTATCTATCTAGGTCATTATCATTCCACGATTTGGAGTGATGACTTTCTTTTCTAAGACAGAGAGTGGCCTATGAATTTAATAAATAAATAGGCCCGGCTGGCAGTGGCATTCTGTGGCTGCATTCCATGACATCTTTCACATCACCTGCTACATGAAGATTTCAACTAGAAATAACTTGTATTTTATGCATACAAAACACAGGTTGCAACACTGAGCAATTAATGAAAATCTGTAGTATAGTATCTAGAATGTTGAATTTGAACACGTTCATGTTCAAATCCCTGCTCCATTTTGAATCTTCCTGAATGTACTTTCTCTTGGCTTATACCTTACTTGTGGAATTGACATAGGAAATGAGCCAAAAACTGAATATTGCACACTGAAAAATATCCTAGGCACCGTTAAAGAGTACAATTAAATTTGGTAATCATCTTGTTCCAAACAGACTATTCTCTGTATTGATGGGACCGAGGACATGCTATTTTAATACTCTTCCACAAACTTCTATTTCTGCCAAAACATAACTCTGAATGTTTTAAGTGACTGCAATACAGTTCATCTTCATAAAAGTTTAACCAGAAATATTTGTTTCTTTTGAAGAGTCAGTGGAATGAATCTAGCAGTCACTGAAGTTTGCTAAAGTATATCCAACTTAGCATATTGAGTAAAAAGAAAGGACTAACAGCTTTCCTTTGGGAGACTCGGAATACATCAAATCAGGATACCGATTCTTTTTTTACCTAGACATTTTAGGGACTTGATCAAGAATAAATAATATGTCATATGGCCCAGCAGGTCTATTTAGGATTAATTTCAAATGGCTGTCTTTGCATTTCGTATTGTTCCTACATGTCACATTTTGTATACCTGGGGGTATCTTAGATTGCTTACTAAATTTTTCCTTTCCTTCTACCCACTCCCCCTGAATTACAACTTGTACTTTTTTGGTGCTAATCTCTTCCATAGACCCAGTACAAGCAGTTTCAGTGAGGAGTGAGTAATAGCTGCCCGCTGCTGGGTGATTTCCAAGAGCTCTGGAAGCCTTGTTTTATAGTGTTTGTGGTTTTCAAGAAGTAAACAATGCAACAGGACAAACAACTGTTGTCTCTTGCCCCAGTTTCTTTGACTAGCTGAAAATACCTCCATTCTCCCATGCAGTCAAAGCCTAATAAATAGGGCTCCTTTGCAAGTTGCTCATGGTATGGTGTGGGCAGCATGAATGGTGCTTTGCCTGTTCCTTGTCAACCCTCTACATCTGCTTCACGATTAGCTTTGTGTCCGCATTAAAGGTAGGACATACAGTATCTGCTCTACCATATAAAATATACACCATCGTTTTTCTTCACTGAGAAGGCAAGTTTAAGTCCTTAGAGAACTACATATGGCCTAATCTGCAAAAGCTTGTTCTCTTGCACAGAGTATGACCTTAACGTCTTAAAGGAGCACCACTCCTTTCATTACTGGACAAAGGGCTGCATGCCAACAGAAATAGTGCCAAAATTGGGGCAGTGAAAAACAAGAGGAAAGTATCCACAAGCTGGAGAGAATCCCAAAAGCTGAAGATTATTTTTAAGAAACAAACGCTACCAACAGAAAATAAGGACTGAGAATGCCCAGCAACCGTGGAACAATAGACATCAGCCAGAAAAGAAACCTGGACAATTGGAGGTGGTATTAAACAGAATATTTTGAAGCAAGGCATGATGGAAGTGGCTGGAACCTTTAAGTGAGGTAGTCCAATTATAAGTTCAGGATGCACTGGAACACTTTGTTGAAGGTTCCATTTGTATTTATTTTATATTATACTTGCTTAATGAAGTACATGAGAACAAGCGGTTAGAAAAGTGAAACACACAATTCTTATTTACTTTATGTATTCCCAGGCACCCTAAAAAATTGTTGAAGAAAAGGGCACGAATCCCTAAAACAAAACACTGTCTCATTGTTTCCAAAAGGTAAATTATGTACGTAACTTAATATGCATGTTATGACATTACATTCATACTTATTTATGCATAAGCAAGATATCTTCAAAACACACCAAAACAGTTGCAAAGTGTTCCTATTAAACTGGTTCAAATTAAGGTTGAAACCCTATACACGCTTACGTTCTTTTCAAAAGGACCAACTTCAAGACTGAGATAATATTTCCAGATTTTTTTTCCTTTAAGACCAATCCACCTCCCAAACCCAAACCTTTCCTCCAAAAGCATATAACAAACTCTCTCCCTTATCCAGGTCTGGCACCGGACATGAACACAACTGGATGTAAGTTAACTAAAAATTGAGGTTTAAAAACTTAAAATCTTAACTGATAGGTTCTCTTTTTATGTTGATCCAGCTACTGTATCTGTAAAACAAAAAGTACTCCAGCTTGCAAAAGCCAGGAGTTTTAATGTTCTATTCGACACACTGCATAATTCACTTGTACCACCTAGAATGTTTCCTCTATCTTAGAAGGTTTGTCCTAGTATGGTGTATTCAGTCAGTCTGGCTCTCAGCTTTTGGCATGCTGTGATCAAGATGCTAAAGGCCAAAGATTTAATAGGACAGCTAAAATGCAGGACCTGCCTGCAAATGGACTAAGGTCCCATTCATCCCCTATAGAGGCAGAAGAAATTTTCTTCCAGATGAAGTGTTATTTTTCATCTCATGCTCCAGCACCACATGTTTTCCTAGGAATCAATATTCCTGAACGTGATTCTCTGCAATAAGCACATCATTCTTTCGTGAATTGCCTTGTTTCATTATTTAAAGGTGAGATATAATGTGCCAATGAAGAAAATAACATTTCCCAATTTCTGTACGATTCTGGAATGATGTTACATACACTTTATACCAAAATATTTCCTTTGCAGAACTTTTGCAAGTGGAATATATGTACCCATTACAATCACCCTTGGAAACTTGCATTGAAAATACTGCGTTTCAACACAGATCACTTCAAAGTGGCATAGAATGACACAGTAACTATTATAGCAATCATGTCTTTGTATTTACAGGTTGTTTTAATGGCTCTCTTTTTAGAGAACTAAACCAATTATGCTACATTAACATGGCAGATTAAACATATAATTTAAATAATACATCAGAAGAAAAAGACATTGCTTTTAAAATGTTTATCCAGAAAGGCATTAGGCCTATTTTTAAACTATAAGGAATAAAGCACTTTAAAAACAAAAGCAAAAGCCTAAAACCACTACTGGAATTCATAGAAAGAACAGAGACAATATGGGTTGCTATTGCCCTTAAGGGAACACCAAAAACACAGAATGGAAATGTTTTTCAGCTTTCTGGAAGATTTAGCTTTTAATAGTTTTGCCACAACAAAGCATTTTATTGATGTGCCTGCTCTGTGCCAGATCAGGATACATCAGGTCTTATTTTAATGAGCTTCATGAAAGATCCAGCATGACCAGATGAGATGAGATACAGAATATTTTTATTAGTTTTGCTTACTTGTTTTTCAAAAGCAGTTGGCACAAGTCGCCTCAGTTCAGACAAACTGTTATTTATACGGTCACGACGCCTTTTCTCTATAATCTGTTTGCAAAACAAAACCAATATAGATGTTTTATATCTGAGCTGGAAAGGTAAAGAAAATGTACATACTACACAATGAATGCAACTGTTACATGAAAAACACGAGTGGAAAACCCTTACCCCTCTTCTTTTTTTTCTGGCCATAATCTGAGATGTCGTCGTAGGAGAATTTGATCGGATCACAGAACTGGCACTGTGCCTGAGGAACAATTGAAAAGGCATGTCAGGTGCTATATCCCACTGCATTGTTTCTTAGAGAGGTTTTGATTCCCTCCCCCACCCATATATTCATGAAGCCTTTAAATACTCAGGAAGGATTGTACATAGTGAAAGGAGAACTTCACATATTCTCCCCCCACCCCCTGATGGTTTCACTGAAACCCCCGTGGGACTTGGGGCCGCACTACATGTGCACAGGTGTAAATTAACAGACGTAGACATGATTACTCTTTTGTTGTTTCTGTGGGAAACCTCTGATGCCCATCATTCAATAAAACTATAAGGTTTTTAACTTTCAATGCATCAAGCACTTCTGTTGTGCAATCTCCATTCATTTCAACAGGGCAGTCTCAGTTAGTGTCTCTACCAGATGACAGTATCTTAATGTACTAGACTGCTTTGAACCCAAGTCTACCCATCATCTTTACATGAATTATCACATTGTGTTAGTTAACTCAGCATTTACAGCTGGCTGCAATGAGAGCAAGTTAGCAGTTTCACTTAATATTCACTACATCACGTCCTTTACTTTAAAACAATACTTGCTATTACGTAATACAAATACATTATCTAGATACCAACAAAGAGAATACTTGTCTGTACTGATTTGCCATATATTTAAAATACTAGAGACTCTACAGCCTGCTTTTAACACACACACACACACACACACACACAGAGAGAGAGAGAGAGAGAGAGAGAGAGAGAGAGAAAGCTAGACTAGTATGTTCTTCCTCTACATTTAATACAGCTACATTTTAGTTTTTATTCAATGATATTAATTGAAATTACTTCTTCCAATTAAGACCCCCAATCCACTTAACTCTAAGGGAACATACTGACTTTAAGAAGAAGGCAACTGTACAGTAAGTGACTTAGGACTAAACTTTAATTGGGATCAGGCTTATAGCTGGCATATAATTTTCATAAAATTCAGATTTAGTTAAGATGAATTATCCAGCACTAGCCAGCTTAATTGGGAGCAGGCTGAATTACTATCCTATACTGGAAATATAAATTAAACGTGTAAATATTAAATGCTACTAATGTACAGTTGCTCAAAGCAAGCTATTTAATGTGGGTTAATTTAAAAGGGATTATTAAAAGTGATCGGATTAATTGCATCATGTGACTAACACCTCTTTACATTCTCAGATCATACCCTGTCCTAGTAAATCCAGAAAAAAGAAACTGAGTTTTACAACTCAAAGGGACTTCATAATTGGCTTTAAAGTATTCCGCTGCTCTGTGTTTTTCAGCTTCTCTGTTGACTAAGATCTGAGGATTTTATAATGCTCTTTAACCAATCAATGAACTAAAATTCTTTGGTTCAATGACAGCCTTCTTGTGAATACATCTTGATTTGTTTTGACAGCTACTTTTCTTCAATCACATCACATATCCCTGTTTGAGGATCATTAGATAAGCAGTGAAACAATGTACAGCAGTAGATGGGCTGAAGTTGCTCAATTTATCTCAACAATGCCTCACCTATTAATCTGAAGCAACATATAATTGAGATTGATTAAAATACTGTGGAAGCTCTTCCCTCTCCCCCTCAAATGCCTTACCACCCTTTCCAGCAGATGAACCCAGAGCATCTGCTGGGAAGAGGATTTCCAGGGGCTCCTCTTTCTACTGAAGGACACAGGACAACACACACCTAGAAGGGGGCTAGCAACACATAGCCACGGTTAAGAGGATACAGTACAGACTTCCCATAAAAGCGTGCCAGACTGGGCTGTCTGACATCACCTATTACTAGGGCTATCACAGATTTTAAAGTCTACTGTAAGACATTACAATTCCATATTTGCATAGGATTCTCTAGTTTTCCTATCACTACTGCGACTGCTTAACGCATTAATTGCCAACAGCAGGCAGGGCATCAATGCAACACTACCCCTTCCTGTCCCCCTCCCCCGTTTGTGCTTTCCATCCACCCCAGAAGTACAATTCTAGTGAACCCAAAAGCTTGCACATGATCAAATTATTTTATAGTTGCGATAAAGGTATTATAATATGCCATTGTTTGGATGTTCTCTCTCTCTTCTCTCAGGATCCAGTTTACCAACGTACACAGAATATATATAAACAATCTTTCTTTAAACTGCCGAGGTCCTGCTGAAACAGGTATCCAAGATCAATTTTACAAAGTCAGCAACATAGGGCAAGGGCGAGTGGAAAGTAGGGAAATTCGATATAGGAATCCTGAAGTCCGAGTAATGTAGCCAGCAGTCCAGTACATCTGAGGCTGCCTTAATCACAGCTTAGACATGTCAAAGAATATTCCCTCCAAGCTCCATAAGACTGTACAAGAGCATTCGTCAGCTGGTTGGCATATACATCTAATTAAGTATATACATCTGAGTTCAGTACACGGACCTCGGGTACCACGAGTGAGTCTGATAAACTGATATTTCTAGCATGCAAGGCGCTTTTCAATAATCTCTTCCATCTCTCCATCCAACAGGAAAGAGGAGTTAGATCCTAATTAAGTCATACTCAGTCTCGTCGAAATTTATAATTTAAATTTACTGCCAAAAGGCTTTCCTAGGCGGCTTACAAATCAGGGTAGTTCAAGTTAGCCATCGACTTCAATGGGTCTACACTGAGTATGGGTAACTTCGAGCCAACTGAGGCGTACCACACAATCTGAAAAACGGACACCTTTCCTTACCCCGAGTAATTATTTTCACTCCCCACGTCTATAGTCTCGTCCATATCGCTGTCTGAGGTAGTGTCCTCGCAGGGCCGCTTCATCGTGGCCAAAAGCGCCAGTCCAGCTTGCAAATCAGGAGCAAACAGCGAGAACTCGGGCTTTTTGCGCGTCTTCTTTCCGCTCCAATTTTCCTTCTTGGCTAGGCTCCGCAGTACACCCGCCCGTCCTTCCCCAGCCGGCGCCAACCAACCGAATGGATTTTTTAAGCTCTTTCCCACGGTGCAGCTCAGCCTCAAGCCCCAGGCCCCGCCCCCTGCCGCGCAGGCCCCGCCCCTCCCTCCGGGGAGAGCCGCTGGACTGGGAAGCGGAGGAGTGAGCGACGGGCCTCCTTGCCAAGCGCTCCTGTGCTCCTCTCCATTGGCCAAAGCGCGGCAGCAGTCTCCGCGCCAAGCACTCCCGGGTGCCTGGGAAGCGTGGGAAACCCCGAGCGCCTCTCGCGCTCCAGGGACACTGCAGCGAAGGGGGAAGGCGGGCGGGTGCGCGCGCACGAGTGCGCGGCTGGCCGGGAGGCACTTCGGCTCTTCAGAGGAGCCTGGCTTAGACGCGGGCGGCCCGCGCCTCCTTGAGCAGGAGCGGCCCGGAACGGTTGCTTTGGTGAGCCGGTCCGTGCAAATGCGAGAGCGGCGCGCGGTGCAGCCTGCGAAGCAAACCGCAAAACGCTGCGATCACTCAATGAGTGGCGCGCTTGCAGTCCTCGACACTGAAAAGATGACACCGAAAAGAAAGGGGATGGGGGGAGCGTAGGTGGCTCTTCTTTATAAGCAAGCATCTGTTTATGGAGAAACGGGAGGGGAGATGGCCCTGGAGGAACAATTTCTGGAAGGGAGAAACGTCCTAGATTTCTGAGATTGCCCCCTTGCACCTTCAGAAACCGCCTCTAGAACTGGAAGCTGACTTGGGTCACTGCATGTAGCTCTGCTTTGATTTTTAATGAGCACCTCCCACTCTCATGCAGACACACTCGCCCCACACACCTCTCAAAGCGTGCAAAGGAGATGAAGCCCACAAGGTCTTTTATGTTTTATATCGTATTTTATATATAAAGCAGGAGGTCACGTTCAGAATACTGAATTACAGAAGTCTGCGGAGTTCTTGAAAGAATCCAGAAGATCTTGAAGTGACGCAGATCGAGTGGCAGATCAAGTGACTGAGTGGCGTGTTCCAGAAGCACGTCCACGTGTTATTGGAGCTCGCAATTACCCTACAACGGGATCCAGGAGAGAGTTGTTCAGATGAGTCTCACAGTGAGACTCAAAGGAGGCAATAATGCCAGGCTGCATTTGCTTAATCTGACGTGTAGTGTATTTCAGTGAAGTAGTTAAACTAGGGCTCACCTTCCCGCCCCACTTCTATAAATGCTTGGTGTGTGCAACATTTGAGATCATCCTCACCTTTTGCTGGAAGTCTCCCATTTCTGTTGCTGGAAGCCTCTCCTACTTCTTGCGGGAGCCTTCCTGTACTCTTGCAGTTCATGCTTGGCTTGTAGTTCAACTCACAACTCGGTTTTGTTTCTTAAGAAACAGAAGGAAAGATCGTGAAGTTCCTATGTTATCCTACAAGAACCTACAGAAGTCCAGCTGGTTGTTGGGAAGGGGGGCTTAAAAGAAGCGTGGCTGAAATGAATTCCCTTCTCTGAACGAATAAAGTCTGCTTGGATCTCATTAACCGGTGGAGACTAGCAGGCGTAAATTCATCGTAGCTACGGGTATCAACAGCAACAAGATCTCAGGGCATAGGGGTGAGAAGGGATGGAGGCAAGAACGAGAAAAGGCAGAAAGGTCTGCCACCGCTTGCTGCTTTTCATGCCACTACCGCCGACAATGGGAAAGGTGCTTTTAATAGTCGTATCATTGCTTATTGTCATAACCCTCCTGGAACTCCTCGGAGCTACGCTGAAGTCTAAACACGCACTCCTATGCAAGTTTAAAAAGAAAAAAGGCCTACAGTTCTCAGCCTTCCAATGTTCCCAGCCTGCGATTCCTAGTTGGGGGCTTGCTGGAAGTTGTAGGCTTTCCCGCCTTGGTTACGTACATAAAGTAAATACTGCGAAGTTTTTGAGTCTTCACGTACAGAAAGGAAAGGAAAGGAAAGGAAAGGAAAGGAAAGGAAAGGAAAGGCGAAAGGAAAGGGGCACAGAAGTGAAACAGCAAGGATGGGGGTGGGGAAGATTTCTACATAGTAAGCAAGCAGGAAATGGAGGGAACGGGGGAGTGTGGGAAGAGATCGCCGAGCGGAGCTTTAGCCACGTCGAAGGCAGAGCTGACCAAGAAGCATGGATGTGATGGACGAGCGCAGGCAGTGTCGGGGAGAGAGCCAGGACAGAGCCCGGCCGGGTGCAGAGGCGTGAAGGGGGCGCAGGGAGAGGGCAGCGGCTGTCCCGGGTCGCCCGTCCGCGAGGCTGGCGGCGGCGCGGCGGCCTCCCCGTGTGAACAGAAACCTGACCCCGTTGCAGCTTGGATGGCTTTTGAAATGCAACCTGCCCCGCACAATCACCCGGCAGTCTGTCTGTCACTCCCCAGGCCTGTCTCCAGATCGGCGATGCCGCCTCTCGCCCTCTCTCTCTCCCCCTCTCCGTATGTTTGTAGGTCGCCTGCTTCCCTTGCGTGCCAGTCAAGCCCTCGCGACGGCAGCGCCTCCGTCCGCGCCAAGGAAGAGCGGCTGGATGCCGCTCGGCTGAGCGGACGCCCGCGGCAAGAATCCCCAGCTCTGAGCGTGGAGCTGGGAGCGGGAATGTGGCGGGGACGGAAATAGCGGAGGGGTCTTGGCTGCCCTCCTGAATGGAAATGCGTTGCATGCAAGCAGCTGGGGCTGAACTCCGAGCCCGGAGCCGACAAATGCCCCTCTTCTGCCCTTCGTTTTGCTGTAAGCCACTTGAGGGGAAGCGCTGTTCTCCTTCCCCTTGCCTATCCTTCGCCCTTCTTCCTTATGCTCTCCACTCACTAAAAGCTGAAATACAGAGCGTGGGATCTAAGTTTTGCTCATAATACCTGGAACTTGAGCAAGTTAAACATCGGGGAAAAGCAGCGGGAATACGAACTGGGGTCATGGCAGGCTCAGCTGTGTCACCAGCCGTCGAGACGGAAGCCTCGGCGGGAGGGAGAGACCCATTCCAGGCCCTTTCACCCTCGCCTACCTCACAGGGCTGGCAGGGGAATAACATGCGGGCAAGGAGCATACGGACGTTTGCCTAAACCGGCTCAGAGAACGGGACGTCAGTACCTTTCTCAAGCCCAGTGCAACGTTAAACATCTCCTGCATCAAAGGTAATGAACGGTATGGGACGTGTGTCCTTAATGTCCGTGATGATCTTAGCAGATTTCGAAGCAACTTTCAAAACTGGGAGGGCGTCCTGCAGCCGATGCGCGGCAGACAGAGCACGGGCGCCAGCTGAGCGAGCCCAGCGCCTCGCTTCCCTGCGGCCACTTTCGGGGCGGCGGCGGCTTTTCTCTGGTGGATTCGGTTACTGCAGGGCCGGGCTGGGGGTGCGCGCGAACACGTGCAGCCAGAGCAAGAAAGAAAGGGCATTTCTATCCCACCCAAGTTCGCCTGGGCGCGCGCACGCGCACCGGGGGCCTGCAAGCCCAGGACGCCGCGGGGGGCGCGCAGGGAGGCCAGAATGGCGCTCACAGCAGATGAAGGAAAAAGCAGCCTCGCGGGTCACCAGGGGAGGGAAAGAGAGCGCACGTGAGAGCGCGCACGCGAGACGTTGTGCGAAGCGAGCAACTCGCCGGGGGCAAACGCGTGCAGCAAAAGCGGGCAGACCATATGGTGTGCAATGGGGTCAAATGGAAAAAAAAGAAAAAGATTGGGTGTGTGGCGGCGGAGCTCGTGTGTATGCGCGGTGGCACGTGGCGGTTGTTAAAGTTGGAAAAAGTGCGTGAAATGATTAAAAAGTGTTAGTGTGTGCGTGCGGGGAAGGGGGGAAGAACCCCATGCGTATTTGTGGGCAATAAATTAGAAGCGAAAGGAGCGTGTGTGAGTGTGTGAGCGCGCGCAAGACGTTAGGAAAGAAAGCCTTACCAGTTCCTCTTTCACCAACGCCCCAGGCTGTGTAATTATATATAGTGACATGTTGCATGTTGCTCTTTCATGTGGCTGTTGTTACTGCGTAAAGGAACTGTGGGATTTCATGCCTCATTGCCTCTACGGGGACATCCTTTTCATGCTAATGTTTGCAGAGTTACTAAAAACTGCGCCGCTGCGCAGACACAACAAAAGCAACCGTTCGCCTTCCCCCCTCAGCAAAAACAAGCGGTATTTCTCAGGGTTTAAAAAAAAAACGTTCCCCACAATGGACTGATTTAGGAAGTGCTCTCTCTGCTACAGTATGGAGGCTGAAGGAAAGGAGTTTGCATTTGAGGAGGAAAGCTATTCAAAATACTGGAATGACCATTCTTCAAAATACAGGTGGCCAGCTTTTCATTTTAGGTTTTGGTTGTTGAAAGCAAACCTTACAATAATCCCGATGCTTTGAGAAGAAGAATTTAGGAACTATTCCCATCTTTTGAAAAATCACTTTTAGTTCTGCCAACTAAACATGCCTACCTGGGTATAATTCCCATAGGACTCAATGGGACTTACTTGCAAAGAGGCACGCTTGGAATTTATTTATTCTTCTTCACTGCCCATCAACTCAAAGGCCTCAGTGGTTTACAAAAATTCCTGTATTAATTGTGTTAGACTGTATTATTACCATTCCAATGGCTTCCTCTTTGCTGCATTCAGATTCATCCAAGTTAATACAGTATTTCCCCACATAAATATGATAAATTAGTGCTAATTTTGGATGTATTAAAAAACTTCAAAATAGTAAAATGATCTTATTTCAAAAGCATATTAATCTCATATTTATTTCTTAGAAATACATCCCTATTTCAGTAAGAATGACTTTTGGCACAAATGTGTTTAGAAGAGGGAGGTTAAAGTTCAAACCCTTCTTTTGCTATGACTTCTCTGAAGGTTTTATCACTATTACCACATAGCGAATTTGGGCAAATTATTCAATACTAATTAACCTAAATTCTCTAATCAAATTGAAATAAGTTGTAGAAAGCACTAACAAAATAATAGCAATCAAATAGTGTGCAAAAAGTGAAGTTTTGTATTAGTTATTAATCAGAACAGTAAAGCTAAACATATTTTTCACATTTAGGAGCCTTTGGAAGCAACATGGAAGAGTGGCTCCAGATATGTTCCAAAATAGTGTCTATGAATTTAAGCTGTATAACATTTATTAATCCCATCAAACCTCACATAGGACTAAATTTTATCATTCCATTTTTATTAAATAAACATGAGGTTTCATGAATTCAGGACTTCAGCACATTACCTAAGGGTGAAATAGGATGCATATTTATTTGGAATGAAATGCCACTGAAATAAATTGTTTCTGGGTAAATATGAGTAGGACTGAGTTATGAGTCCAAGAGCATTGATTTACAAGTAGAAATCTATATGTAGCCTAAGCATATATACTTAGAAGTCGGAATAAACAGAACTGCTTCCAAATAAATGTAGTTAAGATTTGGCTTTATGTTTCACTAAAATTAATGGAAAATAAGTGTGTTTAGGATAGGAATGGCAGCCTAATTGTATAGGTTATCCAGGAACCAAAAATACTTGGATTTGAGCCATTTTACTATTCACCCAAATTATAAACATTTAGATGGGCAGAATCGGGAAATTAAGAGTTGGGAATGGAGTGTGCAGTGTGGGTGAACTAATGGCAGAGGAGATTTTGAAGGGCCAAACCTCTTTCAACAAGAGAGCCTTTAGACAGGGAGTCAACACTTTACATTTTCTTGTTCAGTTCCAGTTAATATTCAGCTATGATGACACTGTTAGTGGGGCCTAGAACAGACCAACAATGGTCCATGACAAGCCTAACGACTGAAAATGACATGCAGTTAATGGGAGAGGGCACTTTTACCTTCAAGTATTGCAGGAATATTTATTAAATTAATTCAAATAGTTAGCTTATTTTTTTACAATTTTGTGGAATTTGTGTGAAAGTGGACCATTTATTGCTCTGCAATGGGAGAAATGCATATGATGTCTTATATGAACATAGGAATTGCCTTTAAACTGAGTCATGATTGGTCCATAATCCTGGATTAATTATCTGCAGCAAGAACTTAGGTAGAGGATTTTCTCAGCCTGAAGTGAAGTGCTTAAGGTACTGCAGGTGTCAAAGAGTGAACCTGGAACTTGTGGTGTGCAAAGCATGGCCAGTGCAATTGAGTTAGCAGCATTGCCTTCTGTCGGTTCAAGTTGAAGGCAAGCCTAAAATCCTTCTCTCTTATGTCCATTTGTCTGTGTGGCCACAGATCTTTGGATGGAGTCACGAGAGCTTGCAGTTGCAGTCTGTACCTCAGTGAAAATTAAGTCTGGAGAGTATCCAGTGCTGCCTGTTCACAAGCAGGACCCACTGCTTCCACCATTCTGTGAGCAATCCATTGCACACCAGCACCTACTGCTTGCACAACCAAGACAGCGTGCACCCGGAGGCATTTCCTGAAACAAACAGAAACACTTATTTCTGGAATCAGACATTTCTGCAAGCTGCCCCCATTCCAGGAATGTGTGTTTATGGTCGTTGTGGATCTTCCCCAGAAGAGTTCTGTGCCAAGCAGTAGGTGCCACTTGCAGAAAGAAGTTGACAAGCGTGGCTATGCATGGGTGCCCGCCTTTGTATGCTGCCCTCTGAGACTGGGACAATTGATTGCATATAAGCACATTCCTAAAATAATAACCCTCCTCTGCCTCCCACTCCATCCTTTCCCCACTGAAATCTGGCTTTTAAAAGCCTCTACTTCCCCAATGGAGTTTAAAAAAAAGCTTGATGGCAAGAAGGGGTGATGATAGAATGTGTGCATGGAGGGGTGGTATGTGAGCAAGTGTATGAAAAATGAATTTCTCTGTATGTGGGTATGAACGTGTGGGTGCATATATGAGTGAGGGACTGCATGAATGCATGCTGGCATTGGGGTTCCTACTAGTGGCAGGTATCTCGCAAATGCTTTCCCAGAATCAATTTGACCCCTGTCCTATAGTTTGAGGAAAAAGGGGGAAAGGATGTGCTTATCCTCCCATAAGCAGTTGTTAATAGCATACATCATAGAGGTGGAATTGGTTAAAAATTGCAACATTTCAGGAATGTGTGCCAGTTTTTGCATAAGAGGACTCTTCAAATTGCATGAAGGGAGTGATTATATCCTCTCCTAGCATAATTGTTGGGGGGAATGTTTCGTTTTGATTTTTACACTTTGTGTAAAATTCACACAGATTACAGAGGCACTCCTATGCAGTAAACCTGTACAATTTCAGAAGCATAGATACAGGGACTAGCAGGTAATGATAAAAGAAAACATAGTTTAAAAAGTGGGTGTTCTGCTCAGTTGTCATCAAAGTAACAGAAAGTGCAACAGGACAGAAATGGATGCCTAGCACACAGTAGCAGAGTACAAGAATTGTACCCACAATTTTTCAAGCAAGCACCCAGTGCTACATCTTCCTATATGTAGGTATCATAGACTTCATCTACCCTCTTGTATAATTCCTGCTCTTGGGAGAGAGAACTAGCAAAGAGTACTGATTTCTGGAATAATTCTGCAATATATTGCTTCAAAAGCCCTACTCCAAAGCATGGGATGGAAGAGCTCTGTTTAAGCCATTCATATTATTAGAAACTATACCTTTCATTCACAAAAGTTAACCCCTCTCCTTCCTGCATGCTCAGTCCACCTTGCTGTTTTCCTTATGTGGAAAGGGAGGGGAAGAAATGTATTGAGTTTCGTGTTTTTGTGTCCCTCTGAACCCAACTTACTAGCAATCCTTCAGGAGGGTCAAAAGTTGAATTTGCTCTGCTTCAGAAGAGCCTTGCTTTGATTTGGACATCTCCCAAATCTGTCTGAATCAGCTCAATTTGGGATGAAATGCAGCTGATTCTGAAACACATCCCAAAATATGACATCTAATTTGGCCGTAAGTTGGCTGCTTTGCAAATATTTCTCTTTCCTCTGTTGGTTCTGAACTCTACGTACTACTGGAAAGTTCTTGAGTTTGCATTGGACACAGGAACCAGTAAAGCAGGGCAAATACATTTAGAGCTTAGGTACCAGTTTGTTCATTTTTTAAATCCAGTATTGTGCCTAAACTTGGTCTTGAATGAGGCAGTGAATACATTTTGAAGGTAGTGTTTAAATCCAAATGTTGCAACATTTAATTGTATTTCCTCAATATAGAAAAGTCCCCTGGGTTAGGCAAAATGGGAATTCTTTGTATAGCCTCATTAAATACTTCACTTAAATATATTGAATGAGGATAGAAAGCTAGTTGAGAGATGACAAATTCCATCTAAAATGTATCCTT